TAATGTTATTTATTATTTATTTTCTAACAATTTAAATAGTCACGTGTATAAATAAAAAATAAATAATTTTGATTGAAATTATGAAAGTATTTCTAATTATCGTTTTTTTGATAAAGACTATCGGATTTTAAATGCAAAAGAAATATATGATCTGTTTTTTTTATTTAAAAATTTTATTTTATTGGAATTTTATTCGTTTATCATCGTTTAATATATAAAGTTCATGTGAAAAATGAAATCATTTATACGTGGATCTATCGAGATACGAATGTACTTCTTACTCGGAGTTGAGTCGTCATTAAGACTCCGTGGCGCAACGGTAGCGCGTCTGACTCCAGATCAGAAGGTTGCGTGTTCAAATCACGTCGGGGTCAACCTTTTATTTTTGTCATCTTTCTAAACGTTTTCGTGCAATGCACGCAACCGCCATTTTTGTTGCCTTTTGTAATGACGCCACTCGATGATGCAAAGCATGACTTTACGTATTCATATTATACGAATATCATATCAGTAACGTTAGACATTTTTTTATTTGAAAATACGATTAATATTGAGAGTTAATTATTACATATCATATATTATATATAATATATAATGATAATTAAAATATATTTAATATATATATTGAAACATATTGTAGAAAGTATATAAATTCTAGCAAACAGGTACGCATAGCAGTCGTGGCCGAGTGGTTAAGGCGTCTGACTAGAAATCAGATTCCCTCTGGGAGCGTAGGTTCGAGTCCTACCGACTGCGTCAAAGTGGATTTATTTTTGCTGCTCGATTATTTTATAATATAAAAAAATCGAAATTATTGTTTTATTTTTTTCTATGTCATAATTTAATAACACTATTAACGTAGAATAACATAAATTAATTATTACTGACTGTAATGTGCATAATTAATATGTTGAATTATAATAATATAATTAAATTAATATTAGAAATAATTTTCTAAACGCGATTATATAACAATTTAAATTGTACATTTATCATTATATAGATCTTTATTATAATTTTTTATATATCATATTATATATCATAGTTTTATATATCATATTTTAAAAGGGGGCTACAAAATTCCTCGATAGTATAGTGGTTAGTATCCCCGCCTGTCACGCGGGAGACCGGGGTTCGATTCCCCGTCGGGGAGACCTTTTTTTATCTTTTTTTTTATTCTTAATATTGTATGTCTAAAAATCTAAATTTTGTCCAATTTAAATTTGACACAATTTTTTCCAATATTGAATTTTTACATTTTTATCATTTTCAACTCTATTTTATTTATTTTCACTAATTCGTTTCTTTTCTTTTTATCTATACTTTTAATATATTGCGTACAGTTATTTCTTTAAACAAAAAATGCATTAATATATATAATTATTATTTATATTGCAAGTGTTTATTTAATTTTTTTGAAATTGATGTTTAATTCAAATATTTTTAATCATTTTAAAATAAAGTAAAATTTGTATGAATATTTTCTGTTTTTATTATAAATTTTTTTAGAGAAAATTAAAAAAGCATGAGTTGAAAATTATTTTTTAAATTACTTTTTACCTTGATACTATTTTTTCATTCATTTTAATGTGTTTATTTTATTAATACGATGTATGTATTTGTTTTCAAGTTACATAAACTTGACGAATTCGAAGTTTGAATCAAAAGATAAAACTATAAACGAGTGTCCATTATATAAAATGGTTATATTTAGGGGCAACTCGATACATGTATTGCATTTCACCAGTACACAGTGTTCGCCACTTTTTATGTCGTGTTGTAATATTACAGTACATAACGTTACAAGTAACATGGTCGCGTACGTTTAACATCACATAACGCACACACATACATAACACGCACAAACAGACATACAGTACTCTTTTCTGAATCCCTGTCCCTTCTGACTTTTCTCCACTCTAGGACCAAACGCGAGTAGAGTATTCACTTGAAAAGTCGCAGTTAACAAACGGATTAAGAAAATAATTTAAAAATATTCGTCCACATTGGGTAAAAATGATAAAACAGATCTGCTTGCACTATTTCTACTCTTAATTCACACGATTGTATCTCTTTGAATTTCAATTTTAATTATATTAAAATATTGCATATTTTTCCCCTCGTGTGATTTTAGTTTCTATAACAATATTCTTTGATTATTTGTATAATATTTTTTAAATAATAGCTGTAATAGCCAGTCTTTACAGCTTTAACTATCTACTTTAACTCTTACTACAATATTGAATTTTTATTAAATTTTGATTATTGAGCCAAAGCGAAAATTATTGAGTGCATTTATTGTTAGATATACATACCACTCATTATCACTCATTATTAATTTAGGATCATAAAACAGTTTAACAAATTTTCTCAGTAATCATAAAATGATTTCCAAAAAGCCAATTAGATGTGAAAATAATTGCAGAATACTATCTATACCAAATTTCTTTATCATGTATATAATATTTCATATATATATATTAAATGCAACTCAATTATATATGCAAAATCATATTTACTACTTTATATGTTATTTATTTTTTATTGATAAGTAAAAGTAACTCTCAGACATCGAAAAGCAAAACACAATTGAAATAATTCCAAAGAAAATTAATTCAACAAGAGAGAGAAATCAAATAGTTATATATAAAAGAATTACAATTATATTGGAGAAAGTAACCGTTCAAGCGTTAAACGTACAAACATTTTGAATAAATATCAAACTCACGCACCAACAACACGAGTACAAACTCTTTGGGAAAATCGCTCACAATTTATCGAAAACATGTCGTATAATTTGCGGGGATAATTTCAGTAACATACAATAGCATCAAATATATAATACGTACACAGAACAAATAAATGACAAACGTATTCTTCCTTTGCCAAATATGCTTGTACATTAAGTCTTAATCGTAAAAAGTCGCGTTTAGGCCTGCTTGTCGCTTGAGAACACGTTTCGCCGTTAACGCAATAGTAACTATTTAGATATTTACTCTAGAAAAATAACGTCATGGACATTCCTTGTCGTGGAAATTCGTCAATTACAAACGTTTCGTCTCTTTCGTAGCCTTTTTTTTTTTTCTTTCAAGTAAAAATATAAATATTTCGTTCACAGCGCGATATAGCTCCCCGTGTCCAGATCCATTATTGTTTCCTTTTTCAATCTTCTTAATACGCCTGTAATCTCCGATTGCAAACACGCTTCGACATCGCTTTTAATTTGCTTCTTGCGCTTCCTCGCATTGCGTCCTTCAGGATACATAATTATCTCCAATAGAAAAAAAATCACAGCTTTAAAATTACCACTTGTTTTATCTATAAGCACAATGAGACGTTGACAGAATTAAAGAAAGCACACAGCTGTCGCGAGATAATTTTTTCGCGGAATAAATTCGAAACAATTACATAATTAGTTACATTAGTACAATTAAACTCTATCAATTATTTAAATGACAATTCTGCAATAATTATTTTTCTTTGTTTTCACTACAATTAGTGAAAAAAAAAAAAAACAATTAAAACAGGTTGAAAGTTTTTCCAAGGAGATACAATATCTCGATTGTGCGAGAAATTAGAAT